CTAGATCATTTGGATTTATTTGCTATAAAGCATAATCTACACCCAACCAAGGAACAATTGCAAGTGATCTATAAAGAGTATATTGTAACGTGAGCAATAAACACACAGAAGAGTGGGGATGGAAGTTCTCTTTTATTAAATAAAATGGCATAGTTTCGCCATCCTTAAAAGGACTTTTATTAAATAAAAAGTGGGAACCTGAGGTCACTGACTTGAATGGGGAAACATGGAACGACCACATATGTACACTTACATACCATGTACTCCAATTCATTAACTTCCACCCAAGTCCCAGGAATTAATGTTCCTGATAGTTCCCAACTATCCCAGACAAGATCCCATCTATCCCAGCATGCTCTCCTGGGGCTGACATCGCCAGCACCACTGTTTGTCTGCTTGGTGCCCCATCACTGCCTGATGAGGGCGCTACACTGTGTATCTCCTACATTAAATATATTCTAGATCATTTTTTTCCATCTTTCTAAGAATCAGGGCAGTTATTCGAGCTTAAACCAGTATATTGTTGATACGACAAATTAAAAGAAAATGTGTATATTTATATACATATATACACAGTGAATAGATAAAAACTAAAGGAGACCATTCAGCCCATCTTAATTCACTTGGTTTTTCAGTAACCTTCATCCAGTCATTTCTTGAAAGAAACCAAGGTATATCAATGGCATGGCTGGGCAGCTTGTTCCATACTGCATACTGCATAAAGAAGGCCCTCTTGTTCTAAGATTTAGACGCCATTGTCTGTAGCTTCCACAAATGCCCTCAGATTCATGAATAAGAGTTGATTTGCAATATATCCATTGGGTTGAATCTATGAAAGCCTTTGAGGACTTTGAGGACTAGAATTATTTATTTTATTATTAGTTTTAGCCTTATTAGCTATATTCCTATTTCTTTTTTGGAATTTAAAAGTTCCTTTTTGACTTGAGTTTGCTGTTCATTATATTCCTTTTTATGAACTGGACCTTGTTTTTTAATGCTTTATAAAGTACTTTCTTTTACTTATTCTTTATTATTTAACTACATGGCTACATCTTTTCTGACTTTGATTTACCTACTTGTGAGGTACATCTATTCTGTACTTCAAGCTGAATATCTACAAGGAGCTTCAGTCCAATTTCTACTAATTTCATATCTATGATGTCCCAGTCTACTTCTTTTAAGCTGTGTCCCATTTTCTCATAGCCAGCTTTCCTGAAGTTGTAAACCATTGTTTTGATTCTAGTTCAAGACTAAATTGTGATCGCAGTCTCCTTATGGTTCTCTCACCTGTTTTACTCACTGTATTTTGTTTGAAAAGAAAATAGATGTTTTGAAAAAATAGGTAAGATAGCAGTCGTTTCCCTTATCTACTGTACCAATTCATTTTCAGCTGCTGGCATTCTTACTGTATGTTCCTCAGCCTGAATGCAGATTTTGAAGAATAAGTTGTCTGTTTCTTGTGATTTTTTTCTAATATGTACCGCATGAAAGTGTTAGCGACAAAGTATTTGTTCCTTTAATATTTTGGTTTTCCCCCTTGATTTTTTTATTGTATTCCCTATGTACATTATCTCCCATGCTGGGGTTCTTTAGATTTTACCCCTTCCTTTCTGATTTAAAAGGAATTCAGTCTTTACCTGCCTGTGTCAGAAGCTGTATCTCTAGATAATGTCTGGCTCCAATGAACAGCATACTGTTGATGATGCTTGTCTCGGTTCCAACACTTTTGTTCTAGGTTTTTGGTGTCACTGACACTGATTGCAGATGCTGTGATTGGTATGTGCCCTTCAGTGTTTGTGATCAGGGTTTCTAGGAGTTCCTACCTTGAGCCTCCAAACCTGGATTGTCTGCCTTAATCTGATGTTAGTAGGGATTGTCTAGATAGACTGCTGTATTTTTCTTCATTTGACAGTCTGGGATCATCGCCTCTCTCTCTTGTATTTCTGCTAGCACATGATTTGAGGTGCATAGCTCCCTGAATGTGATGTTTCCTAGCTCCTTCATCTCACGAAGCTCTTTCAACTCCTGTAGCTCAAACTCCAGTGCAATCACTCTTTCATGAATGAGCTGGATTTTACAATGGTTTTTGTAAATGCAGCTAAACTGCTAGAAGTTTTCCAGGTTCCTCCAGTGTTGTTCAGGTCACATATTGTGGGCTTGAGGGTTATTTTATCAGCACTTCCCTGTTGACTGTTGATTGAATTGTGTGTTGTCTGAATGCCTATGTAAATCTCTATCCCAGCTATATTTATAAGCTATATTTATAAAGATGGCTTAAGGGGCAGGTAAATCCAGAAAACCTATTTACACACACTGTGCCACTGGTGCACTTTATACCTAATTTGTTTGCAAATGCTGGCAGTAATATGATGATCACTATGGTTATACATAGACAAATGACTAACAATGACTTAACTGAAAATAATAAAAATAGAAAAGGAAACAAAGGAAGCCTGACTAGAGCAGAAAACCTTACCAGTGGCAAGAACTAGCTAATTCTTCCATTATATATTCAGACTTCTGAATTTCTGTATTTGAGCTATTATAGAATTTCACATTCATATTAAGATGGCCTCTTTTAATGTTCTTTAGAAAATTGCTTATTCTGATTACTTTTATTTGTGCAGTGTTGTGTAAAGCTGTCTGCTTTTCTATGACACTTCATTATTATAGTACTCTACCCAATGAGCCATACATCCTTCCTTTTCCATGTGGTGAGAATATACATTGAAAAGGTCATTGGGTGGTATGTTTATCAGTTTCATTTATTTGGATGCTGGAAATACTGACTCTGCTGCTGAAGGTGGTGTAAGATGACCTGTCGTTTTTGGAACAACTTCCGGTCATCTAACAAGCACTGCACATCTTTTCTTTTTCAATACAGAAATCCATAATTATTCCAATAACCTTTTACATTTATAATAAATTATGGATTTTATACATGGAATGACATTTTTGTTCTTCAATTTAAGGCTGTATATAACATTTCCCCTTACATTAAAATAGCAAACAATATTGTGCTAGCATGTTCTTTTTTATTTTTATCAAATGAAAATACATTTCTTCATCCAGCAAGCACCTTATCTGAGATTAAACATTTGTTCATTAGTATAAAGCTACCATAAAGTGCAGGCGGAATAAAGTTACCTTGCGTTTTATTTTTCTTCAGTTCTGTTTTAAAAATCAATAGACCACAAGAGAGTATCCTAATGAGAAAAATAGCCAGGTTTCTTGATGATAGAGTTTCGTGGAAATGGAACAAATCTCTTGGGATTTACTATTTCTGTTGTGCTCTACGTCTCTGCCAGTGGTGTGCGAAGAAAGAAAAAAAGGACCAAACTATCAGCAAAGGATATGGAGTGTAATTTTTAAATAAGAAAGGTTACCAACAGGAGAAGACTATTCAAAAGAAACAGAAAATGACAAAATATGTGGAAGCCATTAAAATCTAGTCTTTGTAATGAATAAGATATGCTCATTTCAGAACCCTATAAAGAAGAGTATTCAAACTTGCTAGGATGTGGCCTTTAAACTCAAATGTATAGTCATTTGTTTAGTCATATATGACAAATAAGACCAGGAAATGCAAGGTAATTTTTATCTATTAGAATTTTATCAACGGGATATACAATAAACACAAGGCAACATTTACAACACAGATAGCAACTTTAATTGAATTAAAATTTAGATTTTATCCTTTAAGCACAAATTAAAATCTTGATGAGCTTTTTTTTATTAATTAAACTCAAATGTATTAAGCATAAAACAATAGCATTGTTTTGTTTTTAATGCTTCTCAGTATAGATATACATTGCATATTCTGTGTTTACTCAGTAACTGCAATACCGCTTATTTTAACCATTGCTTTAAACCTTTGCAGCATTGATTACTGATTAGGAAATATACACCAAGGACTGGATGTTAAAACTTGTGGAGAGCTAAGCGCCAAAAATGTTTTTCGAAAGCAGGTTAGACAAACAAGAGAAATCTGAATACTTTTGGATGATGTAAAAACAGTTTTCGTAAAACCTGTCTAACGACAACTGGATACAACAATAACGCATATAACCACCCACATATAATTGTTTTAATTATGTGTAAATTAATTTAGTGGCTGGTCACCAGGGTTCACATCTGATCTCTTGATATAGCACCTAAAAGAAGAAAAAGGAGAAAACAGGAAACTAAACTAAAATATTACTAGGAGTACTAGAAGGAACCTATCTGCATATAATGCGCTTATGGCTCTTGCAACTCGCGACATAAATTGATACATTATTTATTCCTCATTTCTTATACTTGTGCAGCCCTTTGCCATTCTGCAAATATGGTCTTTGTTTTAACTATTTGCACCCTATGATTATCAACAGTTTGTGTGGCATTGGTAAACTAACTTTCATTATAAGCAGCATATGTGTACGTGCTGAATATACAGTAACAAGATTTTCTATATGTACTGCCAACTTAAGAAGAGTATTGTGGATTTATAACTGATCAGTTGTGGGTTCAAGTCTCCCACCAGACACCGATGTTGTACCTTGAAAGAAGTATATCACCCCCAATTGCACCACTACATTCCCCGTCCAGGGGGAGTCATGGGCGATCTGATCTCTTCATGCGTAAAAAAAAAGTATAAATACTCGTCCCTTGATCCGCTGAGTTGACTGTTACGGAATTACCTAAGTATTTTTCCTACTACTCTACGCAAGGAGAAGTGAGCGTACATTTGTTGTTGTTGTTACTTATTAATGACATAGAAAAATCCTGCTAGCTCAAAACACTTTAAGTTAATTGTATTGTCCTTCTCTCTTTCGGATATTGGAAATTTAAAGAAATTATCCAATATTAACAACATATAGACATTGCCACAAACCAAATACCCATACGGGACGACAATTCCACATGACTTTCCTACTGTTTTGTAAGATGACGAATTATCAGGAAAGAGAACTTGCAGAAACAAGAAGTCGCTTGGTGATTTGTTGAAGAATTGTAGATCTCTCCAGTAATTGGCTGGTTAGCGCACGCCCGCTGACGTATAAAGGTTGTTTCATAACCGAAACATTATGAACTGCTCAATGAAAGAAATAAACGTACATGGGAATGAAAGGTAAAATAAAATGTATTGCATATTAGTGTCTACGTTTAATATTATTGACACTTTATTCCGCGAAAATTTTAAATTAAAGCTGTATCTAGAAGCACTTTATATTGTTGCTCTATCGTACTTAATACTTAGTATCTAGGCGTTAGCTACGATAGCTCGCTTGCAGAACAGCTACGTTTGCAATCTTCAAAATGTCAAGTTTCTGTTTTTTTATTTCTGTTTCCTTCTCTTTTCCGGAAATTCCGATTGTTTTATAAAACTGTTTTACTGTGAATTAAAATTAAAGAACAGAATGTTACTTGCATACGAGCTCGAGAACAGAGCATATTTTAATGGAAGGCATGGTGTTTGGTACTGTAATCTGTAGATGGCTCTGACTTTGGAAGACCGGATTCTCGGAGCAATTATTGGAGCGGCAGTTGCAGATGCAGCAGGTAACATTTTAACTTGTTTTTTTCTGCTGTTCTTAAAAATGTACATGATTGTCATGCTGGCACAAACGCGGCACCGTAGTGTTTTTCACAGCTTCAGCGACTCGCAGTACTTATCAGGTTTGAGCATCTGGTGGATGTAAAGTTGTTTTGCTTTTTATGAAATGGGTTGTGGGGGTTAACGCCTAATGTAGTTCAAAGTAGATTTGCCTTTTTCCAAGAAGAGCAGCTTTCTGTGTGACTAATGTTAGCTCTTGATTAAAGCAGAGAAGGCTATTTGCACATTAAAGTGCTTTAATATGCAGTGTTAAATGTAGAAACCCTCTCAAGAAAATGAGGGTGTAACATGCAATAGTAAAAGTGCTTAACGAGAAAGAAAAAAGAAGGACTTATCTCATATATTGTGCTTACAGCCCAACCCCTCCACTGGATTTATGACCTGAAAATGCTTCATACCATCTTATCAAATGAACCTTGCCCAGAATTCAGACCACAATCGGCCAATCCCTTTTATAGAAGAGAAACTGGTCAGCAGAGTTGCTATGGAGACCAAGCATTTGTGTTGCTGGAGTCTTTAACAGAATGTGGAGGTAACCATGCATACATTCACTGTAGGATATGTAACTGTGTGTAACTGGAATGTTTTCTGCTTCTCCAGATTATGGCAACATGTTAATTGAATAACATTAAAATAAACTGGATTATATCAGGTGGGTAGCTGCGTCAGCATGTGTAGGCTGCAAAGAAACAAGTAATAGGTTTATTCCATGCTAGAAAAACGAAGAAAGAGAACACAACGTTTCGGCCGTGAAGCCTTCTTCAGGTGTGAGACCTGAAGAAGGCTCCACGGCCGAAATGTTGTGTTCTCTTTCTTCTTTTTTTCAGCATGGAATAAACCTATTACTTGTTCAACTGAATTACATACTGTATACTGCAGTCCTATTTCAAATTAGTGGTAAGTTATGGTGAACGAGATTTAAAAATCAAATAAATTGAACAGAATGACAAGGAGAGCATTTTATAGCTTTTTATATATTAACAGATGAGTCACTTTTGTCCCAATGCACTTGATTATTTTTTTAAAAATGCAATAGTTTGTGATCTGTATTCTTTTAACAGGGCTTAATGTGGATGACCTTAAACAACGCACATACAAGTTCTTTGGACCAGGCTCAGAGTATGATACTCCTGTTAATGATCCTTACCGTCCCAAAGGAGGTTGGCAATTTCAGTAGCCTTTAATTCATGGGTTAAATATTATTTATCATGATTATCATACAACATTTCTATTAAGAATATACAGTGCTCATTGACATGTGAATCTCAACCAGTATAAGTGCAGAGGGTGAGTTGTCTAGTCCAGACATTAATATTTTCAGCCTGTGCTAGGTTGTTAACTTTCAGTGACTGCAGTTCCACAAGCAGTGTTACAGAATTGGCTGAGCACCAATGGGATCTTCTGTGCTTAGGTTGGCAGAGTATCCTTACCTTGCTGTGAAGCAGTGACGGATGTGATATGTGGGGTGTGTCTGCATGCTTGGGGTTTGGTCAATGACAGGTAGACTCAACTCAGTGGGATGCTCCTACGGGCACTGGGAGATAAACAGGGTGAATGGTAGATGGCACTAACAGTGCCTAGTTTAGGAGAAACGTAAACAGGCCACATGAGTACAAGTGTCATACTGGGAAAGATGAGTTGATTTACCATTACTGATTTCCATCCATCCATTTTCTAACCACATTTTCCAATTCAGGGGCATGTTTGTGGCAGGCTTGTTCCAGCAAGCAACGTGGGCAAGACAGGATACACCCTGGAGAGGACGCCAGTCCTTCACAGGACACAGACACAAACACACACACTCGGACCAATTTTCACAAAAGCCAGTTAACCTACCAGTATGTCTTTGGACTGTGGGAGGAAACCAGGGCACCCAGAGGAAACCCACACAAACACAGGGAGATCGTACAAACTCCAGACAGATAGCTCCTAAGGTCTGGAATTGAACCCAGGGCCCCAGCACTGTAAGGCGGAAATGCTAACCACTGCACCACCAAGGCCACACTATTGCTGATTACATAAAAAGAAAATGAGTGGAAATTCTTTATTCTTAGCAAACTGCAGTGACTTCAAAGTTGCTTACAAATATTCTGGTAAAAATATGTTAACTGAAATGGGAACTGCTGATCTGAATTGTTCAGTGTTGCAGAACGTAATGTGTAATAGTAGTTCAGGTAGGTAGCCGCGTCAGCATGCGTAGGCTGTGGAGCCTTCTTTGGGTGTAAGCTGGGTAATGGGTTATGGGTAATAGACAAATGGACAACATTTACAGTAAATGACAAGTAGAAAACTCGGTGAATGTTTGTTTTTATGCAGCTTATCATTTAGCACTATTGAGTCTTTCATTTAGTTAACCTTCAGCACTGTTCACATTGACTTTGCCTTGTAATGTTTGCAGTACCTGTGACAGGCATTATGGTTTTCCAGGTCCTAGACCCCAGCTTCCTATTGAAGGACCTTGGAGACATGCTAGCCTCAAGAGTTTCTTAAAGAACTTTGAAGCAGGAAAAACAGATACAGGTAAAGAAAATGGAGATAAAATCTAAAGATTAATTCATTAGTTTTGGTTAGAAATTTTTTTATTGCTGTGAAATACAATCAGTCGTGTTGTCTGATGTTCTGGAAAGTTCATTTTTAATTGTCTCATGGTATCACATGCAATTTATGAATCTAAACAAATCATTCTGCAGTGCATTCATGTTTGATTTATAATTTCTAAGGGATCAGTACTGATAGAAGCATCCTGTTTGGCAATAGTGTAGCTCTGTCTGTTGTAAGATTACAATAAGTAAAGATATTTAGGGTTAGAATTAGGATTAGGGTGATGTTTCATGTTAGAAGTTAGATAAAATTGGATTACGAGTTAGGGATCGCTGTGGTTTCAATTATGGTTGATAAAGTATTAGGGTAAGAGCATATGGTAGCAAATATGTACTGTACAGTTGCTATAACTAAGCACAAATTTGAATGACTTTAACAGTTAACATTCAACTGTGGTTCGAGGTAAAGGGTAATAATGTGAGGGTTAATGCTGGCCTAAGCCTAGACCTAGAGGAATAAGATTTATTTTGGGCTTAGAGTAAGGGTTGATATAGCGTTAGATTTAAAAGTTACAATTTAGCGTTAAGATTGGGATAGTGTTCAGATTTGGGTTACTCTTTTTCCTGGTACAGGCATGGGATAGAGTTAATCTAAAAATGAATTTAGGGTTCTAGATTATTTTAGTTTTTATCTTAACATCTTTGATGCCAACAGAAAATGGAGATATACTGTATATCAAAAAATCCTAATGACCAGATAAGATTGAAAGCTTTTCAGTATTTGTTTCCCAAAACCTGCATCAATATAAAATTAAATTAAATCAAAGCAAATTATCCTGAAAATCTAAATTACGTCATGTTTCTGACTGTAATTATCTTCGCACAATGCTTAATAAAATGTTTTGGTACTGCGATAGCTACAAATTACATTATGACATAGGTCCACTAGTTATCAAAGTAAAATGTTTTTTTAAAAAGTAATTATATCAATGTCTTTCATACAGCTATACTTTTATAAGAGATTCTATGAAGATGCATAGTTGCACAACATTTACCATATGTTGGAGGCAACTATCACACAAATGATGTGAAATAAATGACACATACGACTCAACCCAGTCACCAGATGCATCTGATAAAAACACACCACAGCATCACTTTCTTAATGACTTGCTCTTTATCTTTGCTAAGAGTATGAATCGAACCTAGCTGCACAACCCAATGCGCAATCAACATTTTTTTTTAAAGACTGCGATTTTAAAGCAGAATTTTTCAAATATGAAGTGAATATGAAGAAAATGCTGAAAAGGAGAGTGAGACTGACTGCACCTTGGTTGTAGGGATATGGGACAAAGATTGGATGAAATTTAGACTAGGTTTTTCAGCTGGCAATTAGGTAAGGTTTAAAGTAAGTGGGGTTGATGGGGTTAGGAGTTTCTAGTTTCATTAGGGATGGTATTAATGGTAGTTTAACACCATGATATTCACTCCTGCTCCTGAGGGGCTGCAGTTCACCAGATTTTATAGGTAACCTATCCTCAGCGAGTAAAGACTTGGAAACAGTGGTAGACCAATTAAATTAAATTGAATGTAAAAAATGAACCATGTGGGTTTAAAGTTTGATAAATGGAAGAACATTCAGACAACACAAAAACTCCCAATTTGGCAAGTGGTAAATGCACTTTGATTCTTTGGGGATCTGCCAAATTTTCTGCCAAATATTTGCAGATGCAATATTACTTTCATTTTATGAAAAAGAACAGTTTCCTGTCCCGTGAGATTAGTACCTCAGATAAGTTATTAAAAGCCTTTTTTTACGCAGTTTTAGAGCAGGAGCTGCAGATTACACAAAGACGAGCAATAAAAAATATAATTTTCTGTTTCCCTTCAAGGTTGCGAAGTGGACAATCAAATAGATGGGATCGCTAAACTGGCCCCAATTGTTGCTTTATATGCTGGAAAACCAGAGTTGCTGGAGAAGGTTAAGGTGGCAATTTGTGTCACCCAGAACAGTGACACTTGTGTGGCAGTGACACTAGCAGCAGCCAGGCTAGTATTTTTACAGAGGTTTCTAGTATTTTTTAACAGTCTGAAATGTGGTCTGTCTTTTCTACCTATTCTATAATTGCCCCTTTGTAGTCCACAAAATGGCAATATATGTAATTATTATTTTTAAAAAGTAACCTTGTGATTTTTATCGCACTTTTATAGTGTTAGTGTAATCAAAAAATTGTCATAAGTGTTTTTTCTCTTGAAAACAATGTAATGGTGTAGTCTTCTTAAACTATCCAGTAGTAATGTACAAGTTGACTTGTCATACATGACTGATTTGAGTCAGAACATTTAGCTTTGTAGAGATAATTTCCATGGTCACTAGTCACAGGCAAGCACATCAGCACATCTAATGCAAATCGTTTTTCATGCAGGTAGATTCTGAAGAAAGCATAGTTTCTTTTGAGCATGCTGTTCAAAGTTCATTTGAAAAAGCGCATTTGAACCATGTAATTTATAATCATATTGCGGTAAGATGAATTACAGTAGCCAATTCTATGCAGATTCCTGGAGTATTACATCCTGCATGGCCCAGATCAGAGAGCCCTGGATGTTGTACTGGACCAGCTAAAGAACCAGAACAGTATGAACCCACAGAATCTGGATGGACCCGTGTATGGTTGGTGGAGTAATTTTTTTTGCTCTAAGTTAGTTTCGCAAGTCCTAGTACCTTTTTTACTTAAAGGTTTTTTCCAGCCTTTCATCTGACTGTTCTGAAAGCTTTCAGGCGTATTTAATATTTTTTGTACTGCAAAGGGACAATCGTTGCTACAGCTATGCTGAATTACACATCACCATGTGATTATAAAAGGCAGTTAAGAATAATTTAGATTTTTAAAGGATTTTAAATCTTGTTGATTGTGAAGTACAGTACTAAAGCCTATTCCCAATACACATGGAACTGGGTTTATAAAATAAAAAATAGATTACAGTGAGGAAGCAGTGTTAAGTTGAAAAGGAGGAGAGATACAATACATTACAGAAATTATTGGACATCCTTTTTCAGGCATATACAGTACCTGTCAATACACAACCCATATTACTTTGGTAATTTCAGGAAGAATGTTAATACCCTTTACATGAGTAGATTTTTTTAGTCAGAAGTACACAGCATTATAATGATCAGCTATACAATGAATTGGGGTGATTTTTTTTTATGTGAAAGTGAGAAAAAATATTTAAATTTTATTTTGAAGTTATTTTTTAGCATTGGTGGGATAGTGGTCATCTTAGAAGTCTTCCAAATGGTTAGCCCAGGTTTGATTCTTGGCCAATACTCTGTAAAAAGGTTTCTTCCTAAACCGTGAAACACTTAAAACTTAGAAAGCAATTAATTACATTGGAAGTGCTAGTTCTTTTATATATTATAATTTATATTATTATGCATCTTAAGTTGTTAATTTTGTGATGTTTGATACTTGTTTTAGGGACCATTCAGAAAGTAAAGGAGAACTTATCTAAAACTCCGAAAGCATTGATGCCTGCAGTGTTCACAAACACATGAGGTAAGCTTAATTGCCTGTTAAAAATTCCCAATGGCCAAATTCTGACCGTTTCCATGACACAATATGAAAGGTTTCAGCTGATTATTTAATTCTCTTCTAGGAGCGCACCTTTTGTCTTTGATCCTTCAAATAAACTTTATTTCCCTCTAGACCAACTGCCTGCTTTCAAGCAGAAACACATGTTGGAAAAGGGCAACTCGTTTTAGGCCTGGGAAAGACGGTGACAGTCTTCATAAAACATTTGTCAAAAAGCGCATTACAGTCTGCTGTTGTTGAAATACAATAAAAAAAGCATATTACAATAGTTCTGAATCCATTTCGGTGTGCATGTGCATCATTGTAGGTAAACAATATTCTTTATGTAGCACTTAAATTTTCTGCATGACCTCCCATCATGTGACTCATTCTAGGATTGCCTGGTGCATTCCAAGCGGCTCTGCATGGCGTCCTGACTGAAACAGTGTTTGAACAGGCTATCCGTAACACCATGAGCTGTGGGGGTTGCACCAGTAGCAGGAGCTCTTTTATTGGGGCCTGCTTGGGAGCTCAGGTACGGAAATTAGAACCCGTTTGTTTTCAGCCTCTATTTCCCATGCAGTCAAATTGTTTAATGTCAAATGACCCCATGAAAGAGAGAGAAGTGTCAGACTTGGTTAAAAACTACAGCGAATACAATGTTGGCCGTGTTTTTTTTTTAAGATTTTTTTGTTCTCTTTAAGGTTGGGTTATCTGGAATTCCGGATTCATGGAAGATCAGAACACTCAGATACCCGATCTTGCTTGAATTGGCAAAGAAAGTCGCACAACTCCATGAAGCTTAATTTCCTTTTTTGTGCATTCACCACTCATTGGTGTTCCTTTTTATGAATGTTTAATGCAACTTGCAGGCTTTGAGGGAACAGTTAATGAAAGTTCCTACTGAAAGTATATCAGGTGGGAACTTGATGCATGTGTTCTGGTCCGGTAAAGTTGCACTGTGTTCCAAGTATTCTGTTTTTTCCTACTTTTCACCTCTTTTTTTTTTCATGCTAACGACGGTATGGAAACATTTTGTTCTACACCAACACAAAAGAGTCCCTAAGTGAATATTGCTGTTCTTGTGTTTTTAGTGCCAAAAGTGCTACTCAGTAAAAAAAAATACCTGGAAATTTGGAAGTTAAGCATTTACCTCTGCAAAACTATAAATTTACTCTCAAAGCAGGAGCGATGAAGATGCTGTATGAATCCTAAATAACTTCTGGCTAAGCATAGGAAACTTTGACATGCTTTAAAATTGATACGCGTTTAGTATGTAAAGAATATAATTATATAGAAATGCTCTTATTCTATATTTTATTCTATGCCCTACTGGGTTCATAATGAACAGTACAATATGCACTGTAAATTATGTAGCCACAGGCTCAATTAAACACCAGTGCTTCCTATTCTTTCTGAATCACGAACAGGCATAAATTTAATGAATGGTATTTTAAAACTGCTGCTGGATGTAAACAATAATAAACTGAAAACTACAAAAAGAAGAATAAAGCCAGAAAAACAAATTCAGTGTGGAGCTTGGCTGAATAAGATGTTTTGCACCACAGGAGTATACTTCTGGAACTGAGACAACTTGTGTAGGTACAGCATTGCAGACCGTTTAAAACAGGATGTCTGGGATGAAACTCCTTTCAGGATTGCATTTCTCCATTTACAATGCTAAAATGAAATGTTCATATTGCTCAAACATGGGGGAAAAAAGGCTTTAGAGTACACTATTAATTTTGAAATAAAGTTTGCATAACTTCCATAGGAATGAGCAGTAATACTGAAATGTAGAACAGTAGTTTTTGTCATTATGTGCTTCTCTTTCAGTCCTTCAATTATTTCAAATTTGACAAAATTGTCATGCAGATAATTTAAAAACCAGTATCATCTGAGGGAAAAACCAGTCAGAAGAGAATTTTCTAAACAGATATTAAATTTATTTTGAAATCTGTATTGAAAGGAATACCTGGCAAATCCTATACTCCCATCAGCTTATTACTTTATAAACCATGCTTTTTGGTGACTTGACACAGTTAAGGTATTCAGTGTTTTCAATATATACTAACCAAAACAGTCCGTAAAGGGGAGTTGGATATAGGTTCATTGCTTATATTGGCATATAATATGACTTTGCAATATCCAACATGATTTGGATATGAAATAACTAGCAAAATGTTTGCAACAGGTGATTTGGAAGGTTTCTCCAAATAAATCTCTGACAAGTGTTCTACTGATCTTGGGATTGTATTGATACTTTTGAGAATGTAATTACTAAAAGCATATTCTGCTTTTAGGTAATGGGGGCAATTGATGGCACAGTACTAAAACAGGCTAATAGTAAATCAGAAATCGAAGCACCTCAATAAAGAAATATGTCAAAACTAGGGATGCAGAGAAAAACTGTGGAATACCTGAATTACAATTTTGCCACATTAAAATTACACTGTAATGTAAAAAGAAAAGCACCAACTTAACACGAGTGAAGGCAATATTCTTATTCACAAAGATAAGGAGACATTCAAGAAGTCCATAAAAACCTGGAAAGGTTCATAAGGCACATTCTATTCGATATTGATATAAAAAAATGAAAGCTATATTCTCCAATACTATATAAACATTTCTCATTTTAGATCTGTAATGCTGTAAGAGTTGCTAGTTTACAGACCATCTACTGGAGATGGAGACAAAATAAAAACATGTAAAAGGGGCATGTACATATTTTATAACAAAAAATATATAGAAATGGCGTACATCTTTGAAACATTATATACCTTATTCTGTTTGGGTCAAAGATTCAAACAGACTGAACATTGATTTTCCCAACTTAAAGCTTTCTTAGGGAAATACAGTTTGGCATTTCTTACAACTGTAGGAACTGGCTATAGTTCTTACTTGGAAATTCCTAAACCTGTCTTCATGTATTCATAGACAACATAACTAATGCTCACAGCAGGAATAACCTTCATAAAGTTTGGGAGAATCCCCCTGTAGAGTCCAAAAAACCCTTCCTTGGTAACAATTTTCTTAGTTAAGCTGACCATGGACAGCTGTTCTGATCCTTCCAAGGAAGCTGAAAGAAAACATTCAAGATTTTGATCAAAAGAGATTCTGAATTAACACTTTAGTTTTAAACAAATCTTTTAAATGGGATTTACCAATGTAGCTTTCTTTTGTATGTTGTGTGTTTTACTTTACTCAAGTGATTCCTAATGTTAAGATATATTATTTTAGCAAGGACATGGTTATTTCTTAAATGAACTCCATTTAATGACAAAATGACAGAATTCACAAAAATGGAGAGATGAAACTTCAGACATTATGTCCTTGCCAACCTGGCATTCGTACATTTTAATTTACTACTGTGCAAACGTACCTTGTGCTTGCATCCGAGTTCTAATGAGAGCAAGAGGGTAACTAGCTATTTGTCCACAGGTGCTAGAAATGGTCCCACAACCAAGCAGAACAAGTATACCGGGGTTCGGAGAGTCCGTAGCATAGTGCGATAACCAGGCGTTCTTCAAACTCTGAAAAGAGAGAATGGTAAAGTGTATTAGCTATGATGATATTCATTTTTGTCATTCATTTTAGACAACTTAATGTTTTTACAACTCTATTATATGGCCCAAATCTTCATCTATAACGTACACCATGTCAAACATGAAAGCAATGGTTGAAAGAATAATAAGGGCATGTTACCCAGATTTGTTTCAGCTTTGTGAGTCAGTGTACACCTCTAATATATTGATGGAAGAAGATCACAATATACAAACCTCATAAATGGCCAGGTCAATCCCTGCATAAGGGATGATTCCCAGAATGTTAGGGACGTAGCCTTTGTAGAAGGCTTTCACACCTTCACGCTTTAGAATCTTCTTGGCACAATCAAACATTCCAGAGTACTGACCAGTCTTCCTTAAGGTCAGCCTGGTCTTCATCACCTGTGGTAATTAAAAAGATAAATTAACACTATAAAAAGAGACCAATTATCCCCAGACCTCAAGACTTTCTTTTAAGGGCTTCAAGGATTTTATCAATATTGCTTGCCATATCTCTGCCTGTTAAAGATCTTCCACAATTTTGCTTTTGAATACTTAGAAAGGTACACTACATGAAAATAAAACATTGTCCTTTCTGAACCATAGACTTAGATTATAAAAAAGAAAACAGAACAGACTTGAAAGCTGAGAGCTGCTGTTCAGAGTTTGCTTACCTCCATGGGATAGATGATGGTCTGTGCCGTAGCTCCAGCAAGGGATCCTGCCATAAACCTCTCATGGGTCCGAACCTTTCCCCCCTCTGAAGAAATTATTTTTTTATACTATCACAGAAAAGAGGACACAGTAAGGACAGAATACAACAAACAGCCTAGAATCCAAAACAGCAGAAATGCATATCAAAGTTTGGCTACAACTGTTGTGTCAAATGTGGTTCGTGTTGTAAGAGGTTTTTTTAGAAAAATAGCGTTTTACAGCTTTGGAGATTTGCGTCTTAAAAGTATATCCATTCATGAATTTGTACATACTGTAATATGACAAAATATTATATTTGTATAAGAAAATATTCCTGTGCAAAGTCAAGGAAGCTTAGCGAATAACAAATCATTGACCAATAAGTAGTACTTGTATAGAGCCACAGATCCAAAGTGTATTACAATGAGGAATTATGGTTGGGGCATAAAAGCACCTGTTGGGCAAAGAATGTGGTCCATATTCCAGTCTGAGTTCAACACCCCCAACATCAAAAACCTTTGTGCACTAGATATGTTAAAGGTTAACTCTAGGTCTGTAATCAAGCTACTATTAACTGCGAAATTAACGACTTCTGGATTCTTTCAGGTTGTCCCAACACACATGCAATTAACAGGAGTCTTTGTGAGCTTCACCCTGAACAGGTCCCGTCATCATTTAGTTACCACAGATAAAAGTTTTCTTTGTACTAAGGATGAAAAACACAAGTGGCATTACGTTTAGGTATCTACAAGTAATACAATTTAAAAACTGACTTCAATTTTTTCTTTGACAAAAAGAATTGTATGCACTTTTAAGATTAAGTAGCAAACCCTTTTCCCAGTCTTCAAGAAACATTCAGTTTAATAAGGATTTTCAAAATTAACTGAAATGCTCAGACCAGATACGGAAAGTCTTTTCAGAAGTGTGCCAATGTCCATACCTGCTCATATGCCATGAACTTTATAGCCGTCTCTGGTGCAATCTTGATAACATTGACTCCATTTCCTCGCCATAGTGACAACACTCCGCCTTCTTTCAGCATTTGTTTGAAGCCACTGACGAGGCCTATTTTGTTGGTCTTAGATGAATGCACCTAAAATGCAAGTAAAATATAAGTAAATTCACCTTTAACTACAACAAAGATTAACATTATACATACAGAATTGTATTTCTATGGGTTTTTTTCTCTGTTTTCAGAGCTCTGTTTTGTATAATTTTTATAGAATTTATATAAAAGGCGACTGTATAAAATTACAGGGTTGTCCTCTCACAATACTAACATCATTCATCACCCCTGCCCTGAGCTTAATCTGTGAGCTAGCATGAGCATGTCAGGATGGGGAATTAAAGCTCTCATGGTATTTAAAAGCATGGAAGGTGAACACTCTTGTTTAATTTAAAAGTGCTATATTTAAGAATTTTTGCAACTTCTCCGAAGCAGCCTGGCCCGCATTTGCAAGGTTGTATGTTTGATTTAATTAGCTTCTTAGATTTGGGTCAGAATTGAGTGAGCTTTAACCCTTACCTAAGCTCAAAAAGTGAGTTGGTGATCAACCACATTTCTGACCTAATTTTTTATTATAATAATGATATTCACTATTAGACGCTTAATCCAGAGTTAAAGTGTAACTATATTTAACAATCTTGTGCAAATAGAAATGGACACTTATGAAAGACACAGCAAAAAGGTCCCTTCAGTGCATCACATTTACAGTGTAAAAAACCACTGACAAAGCACACTCAAATTAAAGATCTCAGGAAGTCTTCACAGGTCAGTCACTCAACAACCAACCAGACGTTCTTTACCTGCATGAAAACTTTAATTCTGTCAAGAGGGGCAGTGCCAGTCCGAGAGACAGCTCCAGCCATTGCTCCTGCTGAAAGCTGTTTCCACCACATGCCTGTTGTCTTCTCCTCCTCTGTAAATTCATCAGGGATTGTAAGACTGTCTCCAATATCTAAAACCTAACAGACAAGATGCAACAACATAAAACAGTGTTCTATTTTAATATGAAATGCTTCAACAATACATTACAACTAATTCCAATTCACAGAGCAGTGCATGTTAATTCAAAAGTGAAAGTTCCAACAACTACACAATCTTGCATCTATGAAGTTAAGTAAAAACCTGGGGATAAATATAGAACGATACCTCTTCTCAGGCCTTCAAATAATGATAAAAGACTATGCAGGTTTCAGTTGCTGAAAGAGATTAAGAATGGGAAAAATAACATTTTATGCTACTATTTTAAAAAAAGGTCAGGGTGAATTTGACTTTGGATTATACCAATACTGACTGACATAATGAAATAAATTATAATCAGAACACTTCCTCACTTTGAATACATTTATAAACAATGATTAAGCTTGCAAACTACAGTCTGATTGCTGAACTTTTTATTGCCAGTATCATCTACCACAGATGGTTGTAATGTTCAAAAGTTGCTTTAAAACCTTTGATTTGTTTGTACTCCATTAAATATTCTTTCAACCTAACCTACAGAAAGTACTTATCTTAGTTACCTCTGTGATGCCTACTTAAAATAAATACTCGACAGACAAGCACATTAATTTTGTGTTATTGATGTCAGCTTCTGAAACCTACCATTTCATAGATACGATATTTCCATCATCCTCAAAAGTCAATGAATCCTGATTCAGGCCTGATCCCTGAAATAAACACCCAGTGGCTTCTCTCAAAACAGAACTGTGCCACTGTGGTCTTTCCACATCACAAGTACCCCTCTTCACCTGAGCCCAGAGTACAGACCATCTTTTTAAAACCTAATCCCCTCGAGAAAATTGTAGATTAGTTTAGATTATATAGGTTTATCTTTGCAAGACCCACTGTCTTCAAGTCACAGAAAACTACATGAATATTGAATAGTTGTAATAAAATATTATTTTCTTACACACAAACTGTAGCTATTTCCGCCAGTGGAGTATACATACAGTATTCTTTTCTTCAAGGATATAAAAAAACATTATACAGTCTGCTTTGGTATGCTTTCATCATAAAGCCTTCCAAGAGAGCATGTGGTCAGGTCTAAAGTGCCTTAAGGAGAAAAATCTGGTAGCCATGCTAATTTACAGTAATTATGTAATCAATGCAAGAGCAGAAAAATAACCAATTTAATGGTACCAAACAGCTCAAGTAGGCGACTGTTAAAAATCATAACACTGATGAGGGTTATTTTTTAAAGGTGTCATTTAACTTTGCAAGACCGTTTTCAGAGACCTTCTATAATCATTCACATTCATTATCTTAGCAGTACTGCAATGCTTTATTAGAAGCTTGATCCCCTACTTCTCTTTAACAGTTATTAATGGAATGCCAAGTAGCTTAGCGAACCACTGCCAAATTTCAGACCTTCTCTTACACTTTATGACATAAAGGTTAAAGTGTGTAATTCAATTCATTCATGTCACCATAGCTTATCTTCCAGAGTGTAATTAGTAGAGATTTCAATAGAATTGGAACCACTTCATTAACTTTCCTGACCAATGTGCTAACATTCACATTTTTTTTCTCACGGATGACAGAAAGAAATTGGTTCCTAAAAAAAAACACATTTTCTCTCGTCGAAGCAAACTGTTTCTACAGGAAAATATCTGCAGCAGGATGCACAGCTGCATGAAACATGAGTTAACAGATGTCACAAATGGCTCTAGTTGAATAAGTTGCCCCCAGTGGAATGTTTCTGGCAGAAAAGTACTCTGAATCATGGGCCCCACACCTTGCTGTGTGAAACCTACCAGGCAGTCTGATAATAACATTAATAATTGCTTACACTTATATAGCGCTTTTCTGGACACTCCACTCAAAGCGCTTTACAGGTAATGGGGACCAATGTGCAGCATCCATGCTGCGACTGCAGCCATAGTGCGCCAGAATGCTCAATACACATCAGCTATCAGCTGGGAGGAGAACAGAGTAATTAAGCCAATTCATAGATGGGGATTATTAGGAGGCCAAGACTGGTAAGGGCCAATGGGAAATTTAGCCAGGACACTGGGGTTACACCCCAACTCTTTTTTAGAAACGCCCTGGGATTTTTAATGACCACATAGAGTCAGGACCTCGGTTTTACGCGTCAACCAAAGGACGACGCCTTTTTATGGTATAGTGTCCCTGTCACTATACTGGGGCATTAGGACCCACATAGACCGCAGGGTGAGCGCCCACTGCTGGCCTCACTAACACCTCTTCCAGCAGCAACCCTCGTTTTCCAGCTTCAGTGGGGTGCCAGTTGTGAGTTGCAGGGTGATATGGCTGCTGAAAAAAAAGTTCTCTTAAGTTCCCTGAAGGCCTACTCCCTACAGACTCACCGAGGAGTGCTTCCAGTAACGGATGATCTCCTGGATGTTAGTGGCAGGATTGAGGAGAAAGTGCTCACGCCATTCATTCCAGTCTACCGTCATGGTCCCATCAGCATCAATGCTAGAAATAAAAGACATTAAATAAGTAAATAACACTAGTACAGCCAGAAAGCTTGGTATATATTCACAGCTCCTGCTCTTCTCCTCTCCTGCTCATCTTCCTTTTCAGATTCAAATGCACAATGACCAAACACAGACTAAAGCGTGGGATTAAATTCTTCTTCTTCTCTGGTTTGCAATTACTATATGTTGCCAGCATGACAGCAACCGAATATCTTTAAAAGATAAGAAAAAAACAATTACAAATTTAAGGTAAGACAAACTGGAGGGTTTTTTTTGCACTTTAATTATGTTATTGTATTACTACAATGTAAGCCCTTCAAATATCTTCCTCACTTCATATTTCAAATCCCAGCTCTTGCTGATGTAGGATCAGTGATAATTCCATTTCCATTTTTTTGGGCTTCTCATCCACACTGCTCATTCAGAACATCAGTCCTTATGTACATTTTGACTTATTTTTCATCTTAATCAGAATGGAATTTTTACCCTCTCCTATTACCCTCTCCTGCTTCAATTGACCTTGAATACACTGAAAGCATAAGGAAGTTTCTAAACAAGAGGCCACTTGACCTATCAAGCCTTTTGATATTTAGTAGCTAACTGATCCTAGGATCTCATCAAGCCATTTCTTTAAAGAGAGCAGGATATCGACTTTAACTACATAGCTAAGTAGCTTGTTCCGTATTTCCACAACCCTTTGAGCAAAAAGTGCCTCCTCTTCTTGGACAGGTTGACTAGCTTTTCTAGTTAATCGCTTTTAATTAGATTACATTAAGTGGATTAAACAGTAAGTGGTCACTGATAACAGAAAACCAAAATAACAAACTATCTTTTTTAAAGTACGGTATTACCGCACTGTGACAGATTCAGAAACAATGGATAAAATCTGTGGAGGCCTACTGCATGGCTAGCCTCCTGACCACCCAGTGAAAATGGACTCCAATTCTCCATTTCAGGCTATTGTCTAGATGCGTCTCAATTTATTTTGTATGTAGGTGTAAGAAGTTTATATCTAATCCTGGCTTTAAGGGTGGTGAGACAAGGAAGTGAGCTAATTTGAGTGTAATTCAGATAACAGAATTTTGTAAAGAAGCTGGATGTGCAATGTGTATGGTATAAAGAAACTGATATACCGTAAAAAAGCAAACATAAACTAGTGCAATTCTTATTAAAATTCAATGTCAGGTGCAATGAGTGGATCAATGTGTTTTTATTTAATAATTATATTGCTACAATATTGTTTTACTTCCCCTTATTAACAAGTTAAATCAAAGTGTTGCTATATTTTAACAGAATATATTTAAGACTGTGCACTTAAACACAGCACATACAGCAGAAAACACTATTTTAAAATAAATCAATATAAGCCCAAATATGAATTATCTACAATTCAATTGACAAGAATTCTGACCTTCATCTTAAGTATCCTTAATTCATGTCCTGAATGTGTGCCTATTGCACACAGTAAAAATAAAAACAAATGTAAAGCACTTTTTCTTTCACATGCCCAAAGGCACATGCTTTCCTTTTTATCATCTGTACTGCAGAAGAACTTTTCTGCAGTAGTACGTTACTTATAAACGGTCTCCACCCAATAAAGTTGATAAAACATCGTAAAAGATGAAAAGCCAAATTCCTGGTGTAATTGAAAATAAGAAACAGAAGCAGTCATGTACACCTTTACTGTAATAAAAACTGAAGCACAATGCTCTCTTAAAAGTTGTTTTTTAATCTCCTTTAAGGAATAATGCTTCATAAATAAAGAACACCTGAAGAAGGCTCCAAGGCCGAAGTGTTGCATTTTCTTTCTTCTCTTTTCAGCATGGAATAAACCTATTACTTGTTCCTTTGCAGGCTAAAATGTAATTTAACATTTTATATGACAAGAACCAACATCCCTAATCTGCATGTACATTTAAATAATCTAAGGATGCATATGTGACATAGCTCAATACATTTGTCTTTTGTTTTAATTCACTCTGCAAGGATCCCAGTCTCATGTGTCCATGTGATCCTGACAATAGACCCAGGACAGCAGGATCCCAGCCTCTGATGTTGCAGAGATGTTGCTCAGAGTTCTTGTTTTTCGCTCCACCCTGCCCATATGGTCTACAGTAGCTGTACAACACCATTAATGGTTGTACTGCATAATTCTATAATGCGGTAAACTGTCATAACGGGAGCTACAGCAAAAAATTAATTTGACTGATTATTTTGCAAGCAGGATCTCTAAAGCAAGGCCTCTTTCAATACTAAACCAAAATAAAAGAACCTCATCCTAGTCATAACTTATATTTCAATGTCTTTAGAAAGTATCGCTACCAACACAGTATACAATGATATTCATCACAATTAATGAAGTTGCTTTTATTTCAGATTATTGTTATTCACAAGTACCATATTTTATGTGGGCCATGAGTTTGCTTAATGAAGATATTTCATTATTACAGATGTTGAATACCCCAGGAATTCAATCTCTTTGATAACCCTGCCATCAGGGGTCTATTTTTCTTTCATTATATCCTTTTGAAGAAAACAAATGTGGCAGCCCATGTAGAAAGGTGCCTTTTAGTTATTCAATTCAGTTGTTTATAAAAATAAACTGAATTGAATTTAGTTATACCAATGGGATTTTACAGCATGGTTAATAAAATACACAAGTACTATAAACCACTACTCTGTGTGGGTGTGCAAACCTCTGAAGAATCTTTTTGGCCTCCTCTGCACTTATGTCCATTCCAAGGTCTTCAAGAGCCTGCTTGATCTCAGAGGCATCAATACATCCTAGAAAAAAAAAAAAGTATTTCCCTTAGCATTGTCATTGTTCAACTAAAATTTCTTGATTTCAAAATTCAGTTAGACAAAACACCAGCAAACTAAATACTTCAATTAAGAATGATTCCACTCTGTCCTTTCATCAGTAATATAAAACCAATTTGTTCCCATCTAACAGTCACATTGTGATTTCTGTAGCTCTACTAAAGGAAAGCATAATCCTTGATTTTAATTTTCCAAAAACCCTCCTTACTGCTATTACTAAAGCAAATAGGCATATTCAATACATGAATGCAAGTTAAAAACATTTTGTATACAGGAAAAAGTTCCTGCAGGAGATTAGACATTATCTGCCACAGAATTAAATCACAGTCTAAAGTGCAAGGTCTGGAATTTTTCCACATACAAAGACAAGCGATTTAAATGCTAACAGTAATTATTTGATCAAAGTACGTTTTGTAACACTTCTATTTACTGCAAACTGGAAATAAATACTAAGATTTAAAATCCATACATGTATAAATTAACTGTATATTTACACAATATAATCAGCTGTTTAATCATACAGTATACTTTCATTATCCTTGAAAGAAACATACCATCTTTGTTTTTGTCTAAGCTTTTGAAAGTCAGTCGCAATTTCTTTTCATGTTCTACGAGATATCTGGAGAACTCCTTCAAATCCAGCCCCCCATCCTTGTTTCTGTCTCCAGATGAAACTATTTTCTAAAACGAGAATGAAAACAAAAGACAATGAACAGCATTAGGTACTGTATCTGTATCCACTATACTCATCCAAATACAAAGATCAGTTAAAACAATGGGGATGTTACAACAGACTTTAAAGTAAGCAAAAGAAAATTAAACATGACAGAAAAGAAAAACATACAAATCTTCACACATTTTTGTTCTGCCTAAAGTTTTCATTTTTTAAGCAAATAAATATTAAATTTTAATATTTAATATTTAAATAGTACATATTTCCACGTTATTTCACCCAAGCAGGGAGTCACAGATTTGAAAGCTATGATTTCAAAATTGGAAAAGAAGACTGTGGTATGTTTTCCACATTTCTTGTCTTTGTTATCAGTTTATTTTTATACAAAAAGTGTGGAAATGGAATTACTGTTTTTCTGCTTTGGTTTTCTGAAGAGAAGTGGTGCTTTGTTAAAGGGTTATAAGGATCCAAAGCAATGCTGTACCTTTAGGAAGTTAGCTAATGAGGTGCATACTGTGCCACCTACTGGTTGGATTCCAAGTGTAGGTACATATTATAAACTCAGTAATTTTCTCATGAAAAAATGACAATACAGCATATTATAATTAAGATGGAAAGGCAAACATTTCACAAAAAGGCAGAACAATTTTAATTAGGTTTTACCATAAAATACACTATTCACTTTTTACAATATTTTCACCCAAAGAAAGCCATATAATGATAGCACAACACCCTGTAAACATACCCTATTTAAATGTATCTTCTAATATGAAATAAACCATACATTTAGTATTTGTGTACAATTTGCAAGAACACAACAGTATTCACTTACTTGAATCCAATGCAATAAAAAGTGTATAACAATATTCCTTTTCCATGCTATTATAATGCAAAATGGATTTTAATGGTCATATCAGTGAAAAGTATTAAATTTTAATTACTTAAATTAGGTACAAGGAACAACATTTATGCAATTGAGAATGAACATGACAGTGTTCACTGTAAAGATGGAAAAAGGTCAAATACACTACAGCAGTGGTTCTCAAACTGTGGTACGCGTACCGGCAGTGGTACGTGGAGTGCCGCCAGGTGGTATGCCATATGACCCTGGAACTGTGTCGTGTGCTCTGAAAAATCGGGACGGTTTTCATATTTTGTATTTTAATACGTGTCGAATACGCAGCCTACGTACTACGATACAGTGCGCGCTAACACTTCAGTGGACACAAGAGATACTCTGTAATTCTATACCACTCTATAGGAATGCGTGCTACGGATGCAAGTGACCAATTGTATTTAAAAAAAGCTACTGTATCTCCAGCAAATAGGGAGAAAGGAGAATGTGCGTGATTTTGGAACTATGCTAACATTCTAAACACAGGAATGCATAGAAATGCGTGCTACGAACGCAGGTAATCTTGTGAGCACACGAAAGCGTGATAACAGAAAAATATTTAAGAACTGTTCTAATTTGAGAAAAATACACCGAGCGTCTCTGTGTTTCGCTCCCATACGCATGAAAGAAAAACTTTAAATAAATACGGAAATAAAAACGGAAACGCGGAAAAATGCAAGCTTGCGTATTGCTAAAGCAGGTAAGCTACACTATTTTTGAAGAACCTTATTTACTGTTGGCAAAAGAGCTGCCACGTATTATGTGTAGAGAAAAAGCTGCTAAACAGCTCGACCTGCTGCCCCCCTCCCCCTGAAAGACACAGTCATTCATAGAATTATTGAAATGAAGGATTACATCAAAAGTACACTGATAGAGCGCGTTAAGATGAGCAGATGTTTTTCACTGCAATTAGATGAGTAGTCGATTTGGGCAATTTGCTCGTTTACGTTAGATACGAGTTTGAATGCATGTCCCATGAGGACTTTCTGTTCTTTAAACCGCTACCAACAGGAACTACAGGAGAGCACATATTTCAGCTTCTGAATGAATTTATCGAAGAGAATGGCCTCGACTGGATAAAATGCGTCTGAGTGTGTACAGACGGTGCTAGAGCAATGACAAGCCAACATAACGGTGTAGTTGCACGAATTAGAGGTTGCTCCAAAAATTAATGTACGCATTACAACATCCACCGCGAGACCTTTGCCGTCAAGAAAATGCCTGACGATTTAATATCTGTTAGACTCTGTTGTGAATTGTATTTAGGCTCGAAAAATTAATTCACATCTGCTTTGCTCAACTAAACAGGCTCACCTCTCTCACTGAAATGGTGCTTTTTTATTAGTTGTTGTTAATGTTTTTTTTCTTCTGTAAAACACCTTGAGAAGCCACCTTTAAAGGCGCTACATCAAATAAAGTTTACTATTATAATATTTATTATATGTATGTGTGAGTGTGTGTGCACGCGCGCTCATGTTGGTCATTGAGAATTTCTGGGGTTCCTATGAGATGATGACTTGTAGGTGGTACCTGGATGCTTTGGTTGGATTAGGGGTGGTACTTGGTCCAAAAAGTTTGAGAACCACTGCACTACAGTAAACTGAACTCTTACCTATTAAAGGGGGTCAAGAAGTCAGGCTAAGAAATTGTTACCTCCACTGCAACAAGCAGCCTATGTCTAAAACCTAAGGAATGTTTATGGTTTGCTCCATGTTTGAACAAGAGGAGTGTCTTATTCCTGGCCTCACCTAAGCACTAATAACTTGCTCAGCCAGTCTGAACCCTCTGAGGAAAATTATAAGAAAGCCTTATCGCAGTAGATAATAAACAAATGAGCAAACCACACACAAGCCTTTGGTCCTAAATATCTATGTTTTCAGGCACCCTCAATAATTTTAATGAATCAGCAAGCAGTTATACTGAGTGTCAAAGAATTATCAGAAAATTCAATTATCAGGAAAACTATAGTATTTTTGCAGCATGTGCACAGACTTCCTTTTGGTCATGACATATTGTACAAGTACATTCTTTATGTTAATGATCATTAATTATCAACAGAGGGTCTACTGTAAAAGTCACAGGCCAGTAGCATGTGAGCCCCCCATTGGAAGCAATACATCTGTGATGTACATTTGATGCTCTCTTGTGGGACTCCTATTGCTCTCGCAGAGCCTGGGCAAGTGAGCTCCCAGGCCTACAAGCCCTAGACTCCACACATTGTTCCAACACATCCCACAGATGTTCCACGAGGATCATGCCTGGCACACAGAAACTCTATGGCCCAACTGTCAATTTCTGCAGCCTGTACAAGACCCAACATTACATAAACAGCATGAGGACATGCTTTGTGTTGCTGGAATGTTGTCGTGTAAAGGGAGGATTGGTCCTGGTGAGACCCCAGGACCGGATTAATATGGTGCTGTCCAGTCCAGTTGCCATAAGTCACTTGCTGCAGCCTGGCATTTCCAATACTGTGGAACTGTCACTGAGAATACTGATCTTGGCGTGGTGTTGTGACTCATGGTCTCCCAGTTCATGGCCTATCATTAAAGGAATGTGTTTGGCATTAACACTATGCCAGGATAGAAACTGCTGGCTGTGAACACTATATGGACTTAATGTAGCTTACAATGTATTGATGCAAACATGCACTGTTCTCTTAATAAGTGGGGCATATTGATTCCTTTCCATGATCTTCTTCCTTGATTTTAACCAGGCTTGACATTAAACGCGTTACATCATCCCACCCCTATGTCCATTCAACTGTCTCACCAATCAGGTACGTTACTGCATAAGCAGTCAGGATCACTGAAGTGTTTCATGGTCAGTCATGAATAATGAATGAATCAATATATTGCCAAAACTGGAATATCCAAAATTCATACCCTTTATTTTTTGAAGAAAAAAAAACATGCATAAGTAAAATTATTTTAAAAGTGACTAATATTAAGTGATTAACTGTAATTCATGCTCCCTAACAGTAAAAAGAGCAATCTGCGATCTGGTTTTGTCATTTCACCACTTTTTAAATGATAAAATCTACCACCTACCATTTGCTTCCTTTAGATTTATGATTTTTTTAAGACTTTGGCTCACCAGTACAATATCTATCACTGGATAGGACTTTTACCATTTATTACCTGACACATGGTTTACTAAGGCGTTTGGGTTAAAGTACAAGACGTCCCATATAAGAAATTTTAAGAAGAAAAAAAATTAATAAAGGACTTAAAGGCATAACCAAAAACTAATTATTTAAGCATACCTAAAAGAACAAGCATGTGGCTTCCTGAATTTCTCTATGCCTCTTAATAGTTTTCTGTGGGTGTGGACATAGCATACATTATGCATAGAATGCACTGTTTTTTTTTGCAGTAATCCTTTTATCTGAGTATGCTTCTGTATTGAATCTTACTACAGCAAAATCCCATTCTCCACCACAAGGAACACATCTAATATTCTATTTCTCTCATCTCTAGTCGTTCAGTCTTCAATTTTAAGTATCAAATTTTGTTCATGTTTTGTTTATATTTGACTATACATACACAAGATGCAGACATATATTTTTTTGCCGGCCATGCTGGAAACTATTTTTATATGAAACAAGGCACTATACATTGCTTTACTAGCTTTTTAGTGGTTATGGCGTTTCAGATGGGTGGAACTTACACATTTACAAAAGAGGAAGCACGTTGTATTAAAAAAAGAGAAATGTAACCGACAATCCCATTAAAGGTTCATTTAAAGTTCGGTTATAAAAAAGCGTGCATTAAATCAAAAAGATAACTTTTAATGAAAGCTATGCACCAAAGTATATAATCTGCATGTCGCTCTTGACAATTAACCACAGCAACACCTTTTACATTTTACTCAACAAATATTAGCTTTGGAACATAAGCTCTCCTCTCTCAAACAATGCGCAACACAAATTTAAAAACAATATATGAGAACAGTAAAAAATATGTTGCAAATGCAGTCCTTGTAGGTGGATTACCTGTGCAGCACCTTTCCCCAGAGTCGTGCCCATTGCCTCTAGGCCCTCTTTCAGCTCCGAAACATCTACTTTTCCATCTTTATTGGTGTCCAGCTTCTTAAAGAGTTCTTCGTATTTCTTTTTGTTCTCCGCATCAAAGCAACGTGAGTCAGTGAAAACCAGTCTTCTTACAGCCTGATACATTTTTGCTGCTACCAAAAATAAAACAACAGAAAAGGGCCTGTATTTGAGGGTTTTGTTACGCAATATATACAAATATATAGGGAAAAACTTGCAATAGCAGAGCTAGTTCGTATTCAGCTAGAGCATTACCCGGGAAGCTTTTACTTCCTTTATCTTCTGCCTACCTATTAACCGAGACTCACAGAAACAAGAAACGTCACTTTTCCATAAGGTCGATCGAATTTGGCTGACTATACTGACGTTTTTATGAAGGGACAAGAATCGTCGGATCCTCCAGAATCAAACGTAGAGGAAAAATGGGAGTCTTCTTGGCAGCTCTGCAGCTATGGAGAAGTGCATTTTTTTAAAATCTACGCCACACCCTACACGGATGAGTCTGCTAGTATACTTTCTGTTTGTTTAAGATCACAGTAATTATCCGAATTCTTATTCAGATTGTATTTTTCAATTATGTATGCTACACAAACAGATTTATAACATTTAAAGGAAAGTAAACAACAATCGCCGTTGCCTGTAACCGTAAACAACAGTAAAGCAACCTTTTGTGAAACACAGGGTGTCACATTTCTGTTGGTCTGATGGGCTGTTTTCTCCAGGGTACTTACAACTGGAGAAAAGACTAAAATGGCTACGAAAGAATGTAACATGTATTTTAATACTGTACTATTTGCTGCTGGTATTCTCCTCACTCTTAAAGATACGCATATCTTTAATGCTAGCCCTGTGCTAATCATTGAACAACCGCAATTAATGAAAACTACGTTTATGACTAATGATAAATTCGTGGCAAGTGGGGTAATTTCGTTAAACTGCAATTACACTACATGGAATTACAGTGTTACATTTTTATTTAAATTGTGTGTCCATCGTATTTTTAGGGACGCTTATGTAAAGGAAGGCAATAACACAAACACCATGGCTATTATGGGCAATTAAATATTCTTTGGAGAGCTGAGTATAATAACAACAAAGATCAGCAATCTGAATCATCTATAGTTGTGGTATCCAAAGAAAAGGCTCCTGGAATCTTACATTTGAGACATCTAAAAAAAGGAAGTATTGAAACAAAGCAACGTAAAATTCAGCTGTGTTTAGCTCGATTATTTTTGCCACAAAACGTGATGGTGATACTTCAACACCATGTGGTATTCATTCAGAAATGTCTCGTTCTAACCTTTGAGTAATATTCAGTTCCTTTTTTGTCTCTTCCTGAGCTCCATGAGTCGCTATGAGTCAGGCTGAGCAGAGAAACAGCTGAACAGTCAAGTTTGTTGGCCTTTACTCACAGTGACCCCATGGGACCCAAAACTCTATTTATAAAATCTTGATCACATTATATTATTAACCTAATATTACAATTACAGTTTCCACAATGATTTTCTTTATACGGGTATAAATTGCATCTATTCTTTGCATGAGATGCTAAGCAAACTTTTTACTAGAGAAATTAAATCTGACCGAAAAACTGTTGATCTTAAACGAGACTACAAACCCTACACACCAGTGCTATAGTGGTATAGTATACGCAAGACAATCACACCTGTATGTAACTGATAACATGCGTAGGTGTTCAGCACAATTCCAGATTCCTCATGTCATTTTCAGAAAAACATGAAGTGTGGTACATATGACGCTAGGGGGCAGCACAACACTTATCTGGATGAGAGACCTCCTGGGAAGCTATGGTGGCTTCTGGAAGTGGTGTTAGTGGGACTAGTTGGGGGGCACCCACCCTGCGATCTGTCTGGGTTCTCATGCCCCAGTATAGTGGCAGGGACACAATACTATAGTGGGCACTGTCTTTCGGATGAGACATTAAATCGAGGTCTTTCAGACTCTCAGTGGTCATTAAAGATCCCCGGCATTTCTCGATAAGAGTAGGGAGTGTTCAGGCCAAATTCCCCCCCTTGGCCTTTAACGTTGCCTCCAGATTGTCCCCATGTATGATTGGCTTGCACTTGCCGTGCGATGGACTAGATCCCGTCCATGGTGTACCCTGCATTGCACTCGTTGATTGCCGAGTAAGCTCCGACTTCCCGCGACACCGTATGGTATAAAGTGGGTTGGCAAATGTCAGGACATAATAATAATAATAATAATAATAATAATCAACATCACCATAGATGAAGAATTTATTAGCCCTAGGCTTTTTTATGATGGTGATTACTGAATCCAATTTGAAATGATTTCTTAACTAGCAGCTATATCACCCTGCAACTCACAATTGGCAACCCACTGAAACTAAGCAGGTGTGAGCTTGGCCACTGCCAGGATGGGAGACCTCCTGGCAACGCTAAGGTTGCTGCTGGAAGAGGTGTTAGTGGGACCAGTAGGAAGCCCTTGCCCTGTGGTTTATGGGTCTTAATGCCCCAGTATAGTGATGGGGACACTATACTGTAAAAAAGTGCTGTCCTCTGGTTGACATGTAAAACCAAGGTCCTGACTCTCTGTGGTCATTAAAAATCCCAGGGTGTTTCTCAAAAAGAGTAGGGGTGTTACCCCCGCATCCTGGCCAAATTTCCCATTGTCCTTTGACACTTTAACTTATATAGATAGATACTTTATTGATCCCGTGAGGGAAATTGCAGTGCAACAGCAGCTTAATACACACAACACAGCCACAGTGTAACGAATTATATAATAATAGTACAATACATACAATACAATACAAGAGTTACTCACAGTCCGGACACACAAAGAAC